CTGTAGTTGAGTAAGTTTGCCCCCTGTAGTAAAACGAGTTTGCCTCCTGTAGTAAAGCAAGGTTGCCCCCTGTTTTAAAATAAATTTGCCCCCTGTAGTAAAACAAGGTTGCCCCTTGTAGAAAAACAAGTTTGCCCTGTGGTAAAACAATGTTTCCCCCTGTAGTAAAACAAGTTGCCACCTGTAGTAAAACAAGGTTGCCCCCAACAATAGAACACGTTTGCACTATCTTTAAGCAAATCTTTCAACTCATTTCCAAACAGCAGAGTTCAGTCATTTTCTGAAGAAGTCATCATGTGTTTTGATTAACATGCAATTCAAGGTGAAACCATAGCAGAGTTTGTTCAAGATGCAAATTTTTTGGCGTGTTATAACGCAACACAGGACTCCTACACAAGTAGTGCAAAACCACTACATTTCTTCATTACCTGATTGACACTGTTTTATGCTAAAATTCCAAGAGCTACTTTTTAAGAACAAACTAAAATACTGTTAGGCCAAAAATATGTGTAGAGTAGTTGATATTCACACTTGTTTGTTGTTGGGCCCAGTGTTTCAAAGCAACTTAGCATGCTTTTGTAGGTTAGCATTTGACTCAGGAAAAATTGCTTCTTGATCAAAATATATCATGATTTTGACAGGAAAATAATGTGTTCATTGTAAGGAATCAAGTTTTAAGATTTTTGGGCAAACTTGTGAAGGCAGAGGTGAACTTGTTTTATTTTGGGGGGGCAAAATTGCAAAGGCAACTGGGGACAAACATGCATTAGGAAAAACTTCTAGGGACCAGGGTTAATTGTTCAATGGGGTTTGGGCAATGCCTCTCTCCCCCCAGGGGTGTGAGGAGTGTTAGTATTAATGATGGCTGGGGAAATGGGCTTCTTGAAATGGACTTGCACCTTGGGAGTCTTTTTGTTATTTGGCCCACTGGGTGTGTCATCCTATATGATTTAGGACTCCTGTTTCTGTGGATGTCATCGTCACTACCAGAATTATCAGAAAACTTTGTTGTCAAACTTTCACCTAACCTACAAAACAAGCTAAAGATTTTTCCCTTGTTAAGGGAAGTACAGATAATTTTCAGGTGAGGTTCGGGTTCAGGCGAGTCACATTCAGGAGGAAGAGCACGAAAACGACACCTCCCTCTTGCATTCATTTGCCTGAAAATGCACGAAATGATGCAACTCTGCAAGCTTTGAAACATTATATTTGTGGCCTTATTCAGCTGTAGATCTGTTGGAACGGATGCTAAACCTTGATACAGACGTAAGAATCACAGCAGAACAAGCCCTTGCACATCCTTACGTGGCTACTTATGCAGATGCAGACGACGAGGTAACCCTCAGGTGGACATAAAAATTTTAAAACATATGTCATAGATTTTCTGTGCTCCTTGGGAGAGTTTACTGAAAATAATCGAATTTGGTTGAAGGTTACACATAGCTCATATTAGCTGAATAAAGGGGGTGGGTTTCTAAAGAAACTGTGGCGCTGCGTTGGTGGGAGAGTCTAACAGGGAAATTTGAATTTGCCGACTGAGTCAAACCGGCAATCTTAATCCCTATGGTGAGAAGCACTCAATATGGCAGTAGTCTATGTTTCTGACCCCTGCCTTTGTTAAGTGTGGTATAACTGGAAGCAGGGTGTCCTCAAGCCAATAGCCATCGAGAGTGATGTACTAGGGAAACATTTCTCTCTTTTCCTTAACAGCCAACGTGTGAGCCATTTGATGAAGTTCAGTTCGAAGCTAAGGACTGGCCAATAGATAAATGGAGAGGTATTAAACACTACCACCGAGTTCATTATTTTAAGTCATTCTGTGAAGCATGCAAAGTTACTCTATTCGCAAGAGAAACCAAAAAATAACAGTTCAGGAAGATAGTACAACATCGAAAATGGA